GATACCATTGTTAGATTTCTTAGGACTCAATCGAGTCAAGTTCACCAGATCGGGTACATAGAATAGGAATACATGTTCAAGATTTATAGTATATACACAAAACCTAATGCATGAACTACAGAGATATAAAAGGAAGAAATGGGGTAGGTGGAGTAGGAAGTCGCAGACCATCGAAGGTCGTAGTGGTCGAAGCAGTCGGAGTGGTGGAAGCGCTGGCCGCGGCCTCGTTCGCGGATGCCATCTGCGCGCTGGCAGCGATGTTCGGTGGAGAGAGGAGTCGGTGCAGTGGCGTCCTTGGCGGCGTGTGCGTCGGGGTGGCGTTGCCGGCGTCGGTGGTGCTTCCCATCGCTGGCAGCGCCCCTTCTCAAGATCGGGTTAGGGTTAGGATGTCGGTGGGGAGTTTGGCGGCGCGGTGAACCTCGTACTGCGAGCCCTGGCCCCCACCTTTCCTTTATAGCGCTGTGCGACGGGGGCCCACCAACCATGTAGGGTTGGGCGCCCCCGATCAGGGCGTGAGAACAAGGCCCAAAGGCCGTTGGGCCTAATGGCGTGGGAGATGAATCCAACATATGATTCCAGAGTGAATTGGAATACATAGTGTTTCTAGTGTCCATTATTCTCTCTCATGCCCCACACAAGTTAGAGCAGAATGTCCAGGCATCGTGTGGAGTCCGATTCCAAAATGAATATGATGCGATCATTGATGGATCCGTAAGTCTCTCGTAGCCAGCATCAAGTCTAGCCATAGTGCAACATTTCATTCCAAGACATATTTGAATGTATGACACGGTAGTTACATGAGCCACAAGTCATCTAGGTGATCACACAACAATTCTTATAATACGTTGCAATCTACGAGCATATTTGCTAGTGATAATAAATCTACTGTTCTGTTATTATAAAAATAACCTAGCTAATGTAGCCCACTAATCTTCAGAGAACCATTAGATGAAGATTATAGTCGCTGCATATAACGATTAGTTTGGGAACATGTACATGATGGATGTTTAGCCTCTTGTTTATTATTGAATCAGATAAGCGTTTTTTAGAAGTTGAGTTAGCTGGATAACTATTGATTTCAATATGATGTTGAAGGAGAAACACCAAATTAAACCAAAATTATATTGATTAGACTGAAACCAAAACTAGTCAGCCCAACAACATCTACCTCACCTCATACTAAACCATTGATCTGGTCCAATGGCTAGGGTGTGTCCCAAACAAAACAACAACAATATGAATTGAACACCTAAGATATTTTGCTACTTGCTCATAACTTTTTGCTATAAAAAATATTTGTTTCTCCTATCACATTACTAAAATTGTTTGCTTTTAATCATGAAAATATGGATTCAACAACTGTTTTTTAATCTAAAATATGGATCTAACCAAGTTTAGCTTTACATGTTAATATTTGTTTTTTTATTAAATTGGTGTCACTTTACAAACCAGTAAGAAATTCTATAAAATGATTTTTTGATATATGCTGCTCATTATACTATTGGTGATTGTGTAAGATCTGAGCATTCATCCATTCATTCATAAATTTTATGGGACCCACACACTACTACAGATCTGACATTCACTGCCGGCTCCATCACTGCCAGTTTTTAAGAAACTAGCAGTGATAGTGCCTCGGCACATCACTGCCAGTTTTTGGCTAAAACCGACAGTGATAGGTCCAACCGACACTGATAATGGATCATCATTGTCGTTTTTTGGCTAAAACCGAAAGTGATAGTATCAGTGTCAGTTTTAGCGAAGAACCGGTAGTGATGTTGGGTCATAACGGCCAGTCTTTTGAACCATCCGTGATTTCCTAAAAAAACTTCATAACTTTCTCATATGATGTCCGATGATGACAAAATTTATATCGAAGTTGTTGCACTCGACGAGATCTACAACTTTGTAGTTCAAACTTTTTTAATTTGAGATTGTTTGGATAAATAAATACACACCATAAGATTTTATAGAGTTAATACCAAAAGAGTCCATATGCTCCATAGTCATAAGCGAGTGTGCAGTGGTAGTTAATGATCTCGGATGGAGAAGAACCCAAAACAAAATTTGTAGATCTCTGAAAGTTATGCAACTTTGTAGTTCATGAGTTTTTTATTTGAAGTTATTATGATGTCCCTCTATTTGATTCACAAGATTTCATAGAAGTTAATATCAACTAAAGCCATATGTTCCATAGTCATAAGTAAGCGTGTAGTGGTATTTAAGGATATTGGATCAAGAAGCGACCAAAACAAAAGTGCAGATCTAAAAAAGTTATCTAATTTTATAGTTGAGAACTTTTTCATTTGAAACCATCTATCTAACCGAAAATTATGTTTGATTTCTCAAATTTAAAATTCAAAATTTTCAAACGACCTCAGATAAAGAAACATCCAAAACAAAAGTTGTAGATGTCAAAAAGTTGTGCAACTTAACAATTGATAACTTTTTCATTTGAAATCATTTACCCAAGGAAAATTATGGTTGAATTTTTCTCACAATTGAAAATCAAATTCTTCAAATAACCTCGGATAGAGAAATGACCAAAACCAAAGTTGTAAATCTTGAAAAGTTATAAAATTTTGTAGTTGACAACTTTTTTATTTTAATTCATTTAGGGTCCCAAATACTCATTTCAAAATCAGATGAATATAAAATGGCTAAGACGAATATCTCATTTGGACACAAGCGTCTTACAGGTGGAGTGGTTCGGCGATGAACACGCAAAGGAGGAGGTTGGGGGTTCGAGCGCCGGTGGCTGGCCTATACCAGAGAGATTAATTTTTGTCCTATATATATATAGATAGATGTGCTCAAGAGAATAACAAAAGAGAAAAAGGGCGAACCGAGCATAGCTGAACCGCTTTTTCTCATGAAAAATCACGTGACTTGTGACGCACGACCGTGTGGCTGTCCAGTTGGGTCTATGCTAGTATTAAAAAAATTCATAATTTTTTAGTCTATTTTTTAGATTTTTTGAAAACCAAATCACTGTTGATTTTTAAGAACCGACACTTATGTGTACCACCCATCACTGACGGTTTGGTTATGTTGGTTCAAATCCGACAGTGAAGGAGGATTTTGAACCGGCAGTGAATGTCAGATCTAGGTAGTGAGAACATCTTTTTTGGGAGAAAAATTTCTTTCAGTGTCTGGCCTACACCAGAGCAGATTAAAATTTGACCTACATATATAGATAATGTGCTCAAGAGAATAACAAGAGAGAAAAGGGCGAACTAAGCATAGCTGAGCTGGTTGGGTTACGGTGAAACATGTCCACCTAGGTTCTAAGTTCTTAACTTGACATGAATGCTCGTATTTTCTTGAATTTATTTTAGGATTTAAGGATAGTATTCTTTTAGTGGTAGGCGACGTGTCGGTTCACAAAAGAATATAATCCTAGTACAATATCAAGCTAAAATATCTTGAGGTCAACTAACTATAAATAAAAAATATTAATATTTACATACCATACTTATTTGGTGTCATAAACCTTAGTACTTGTTTGGTGTCATAAACATTAATATTTTTACTCCCTCCGTCCCAAATATTCCTAACAAAATAGGTATACTATGAAAATATAATTAATGATAAATCTAATAATACTTATTTGATATCATAAATATTATTATTTTATAAATTTAGTCAAACTCGAGATACTTTGACTCTAAGAAAGTTGAAATGATTTATAACTTAAGACGGAGGTAGTACTATATATATTTGGTTAGGTTTTAGACACGTTAACTAAAATGCATATATTTTTTATGGACGTAGGTAGTACTAGGATTAGATTGGTGAAAATGAGTATAAGACCAGGCCAGGGTATCCTGCTGTAACTACTCTCCTGCGTGGCTGTCACTCTCCTTCCCCTCACGAACAATTCATTTAAAACCGGACAAGACGAATGAGCTGGAACAACAGATCGGTCGCGTGATCTGGATGGTGGAATATAATAGTCTCATTCCTGTTTGCTACCGAGATCATCGATCAGCTTGTCTTTGGTACTCCCTCGTTTTCAACGTGGGGTTTGATGCATGCATGGCGTCCCTAGCTGCATGCATGCATGCTCAAACAAAACCATAAGAAAATGTTTGATGAACCTAAAACGCATCCGCAGAAGCTCATCATTGGAGTGCCATCATCAATAATCCTTCGAATGTTGACCCATATTTTATAGGATTGTATGTATATACCACATGGATGCAGCGATAAATTCCCAAAACCTTAATACGTACAAAAAATATAAGTACAAAAGTAAGGCTGCGTGCACCATGTACAGTTGTTTCTAACGAACCAGACCACCGGAACCATATGCCAATTCATTTAAAGAATTTGGTACTTTGGTTAGGCTATTTAATTTCTAACCCATTGCTCATGTCATGCTCTTTCAATATATGCTATGTCAAATGAGGAGAGAATAATGATATATAGAACCCTTAAAATGTATACTCGCACAGTGATACTTCAACCCAATTATTAATTGTTGTATGATTTATCTCTATGATAATGGTCCTAAAACAAGTGTATAGTTCTACTCTAAAAATTGGGTTTCGTATATATATATGAAGCTGTATCTCCATGAAGATAAGTATTATTGCTTCTACCCATGTCAGCAAAAATGTCATGTAGAGCACCTTACCAAAGGTAACACCTATTATTGGAAGTAGCCGCATATAGATGTCATCTAAGGGCAAAAAGAAAACAATAAACGAAGTCACTTCTAGCACTGTAGAGATCACTGGTTGATTGAGTGGACAAAAAAAAGTAGCTTATGGCGGCTTATTAATAAACACACAAAAAAAAATCACGTACTATAGTTGAACAAGAAGAAATACACAAACATTGCTGTATAAAGTGTGTATATAAGACTTGGAATAGTTTTTTTTTCTGAAAGAAAAGAAATTGCAGTACAAACACTTGGCAAGTAACGAAGCAATGAAATGTGAAATCCATCTATAGATTATTCAGTTGATGTAGAGGACGGACCAGATACAGGTTACCTGAGAGATGACGCCGAGGACTCCGAGAGAGACCTTGGCGCGGCGTCCAGCTCCGGATCGGCGGCGATGAGCACGCGCACCTTGGCGTACCCCTGGGCGACGGGCGCCGGCGTGACGATGCGCATCCCAACGACGTACTCGTGCACGGCGCTGCCGTTGCCCCAGAGCGAGCTGCGTGCGCGCCCGTGCTGAGCATGCCGCCGACCGTGAGCCCCCACCAGTAGGGCGCGTAGGGCAGCGCGAGCCCGGACTTGGCGGCCTCTGCGACGAGGTCCCGCAGCGTGACGCCGCTCTCCACAGTCATGTGCCCCGTCGCGGGGTCGACGGACACGACGCGGTCGAGCCGCCTGGTGCTGATGACGAGGCCCTCACCGTCGCCGCTACCGGGGCACGCCAGCGGCGGGATGCTATGGGAGTAGCGGGTGGCCACCTTCATCTTCGTCCCGGACGCCGCGCCGGCGGCGGCCACGGCGCGCACCAGCTCGTCCTCCGACGCTGGGTACGCCGCGGCGGCCGCGCGGCACGTGGAGCGGTCCGGGAACATGCCGTAGGCGCTGGATACGGTCCAGTCGGCCGCGCCGCCGCCCGACGAGCACTGCACGGGGTCCGGCGGCGGGTTGGCGAAGGCTCCACGGTCGGCTGCGGGGCCGTCGACCTGTACACTGGTGAGGGTGGCGAGGACGAGCAGCAGCATGCTTTGCTTGACCCTCATGAGGTACTTGATGGAGGCTGATGAGGACGAATGTTCCCGCGACGGGAGTGTAGCTGTACCCATTGTATAGGAGTACAATAATACAAGCCAAGGTTTAGCCGGAGATAGATAGCAGCTGCTGAAGGGTGCAGCTGGGAGAAGCAACTTTTATATGGCTAATTAATTGTGCACGCTAATATAGCCGGACATAACCCGAAATAGCCTCTAATTAGTAGGCTTGCGATAAAGCGTGACTAGTAGGCTGATAAAGCGCGACCAGTCACGCGTGACCCGGCTCCACCCAACGACCATCATCTACCTCACGCTTGTACTTGCCCCGCCCCCGCCTTCACCACCGGTGGCCAGTGGCTCCCCGCCTCACTGCCCTGTCCGCCCGTCGACCCCGGCACCCCACTAATGAGTAGAGGTATGTTAAGTCCACAGAAAAAAGGAAGTCGATCGACACCCCCGACCCATCCCATGGATCATCCGGTGCTCGGGGGCTATATCCGGGTACGCTTGCGCCCCCGCTGCCACCACTCGAGGCTTGGGGCCTCGGCCATGGCCCCGGACTGCCGAGTGATGGTGGCCCGAGCCTGACTTCCACCCAACGCACATCCGACACTACAACAAATGTGTTGATCCATGACGGTTTCTTGGTGACCTATTTAGAAATCATAATAATATAGGGGATCGACTTGTAAATAAGGCCATGGTGTTGGCATAGTCATTATTTCTCCTAATGGTGCTAAATTTGAGATGTCAAGCCGATTGAATTACTATTGCACCAACAATCAAGTCGAATATAAAGCTCTTTTGTTCGGCTTAGAGATATTATATTTCATGGAGGTAAAACATGTTGAAGCCTTTGGTGATTCCTTGGTGGTACAGCAAGTAGCTGATGAGTTTCAATTCTTAGAGGGATCACTCAATGTTTATCTTGATATGTGCCTTGATATTATTGCTTCTTTTGATGAATTCCGAATTCAGCATATTCCAAGGCATGAGAATTATAAGGCTAACATGCTAGCTCAACAAGCATCTAGTTTGATGTCAGCGGGCATAATTTTCACATCAAAGAAAAGCCGATGCAAGAAAATATATTTGTTTTGTGTGCAGGGCCAATAGAACTAGCTCAGCCGACTCCTAGAGTCAGCCAAGACGGTTGGTTCACTAAGCCAACTGCCAAGGTCGGCCAAGCCGACTTCCCTGTGGCTGGCTAGGCTGGCTCACCTGAGGAGCTCCCAAATCAGCCCATTTTGAATTCTAGCAGTGATGTGGCTGATTTGGATGATTGGAGGACTCCCATTCTGAGATATATAAGTGATCCAAACACTATAGTTGATAAAAGTATTCGGTGGAGCTTATTCAAGTTTGTGTTACATAATGATGAGCTTTACCGAACAACTGCCAAAGATTTGTTGCTTAAGTGTTTGGGATTCGATCAAGCAAGAGTGGTTATGGGAGAAGTCCATGAAAGGTATTTGTATATGTATTAGGAAGATGAAGTGGTTATTTTATACAACTAGTTTTTATTGGCCTACTATGATGGCCAATTGTTTTCGTTACTACAAAGGTTGTGAAGAGCGTCAATGGTTTGGGAATATTCAGCGTGTGCTTTCTGCTATGCTTCATCCTATCATCAAACCATGGCCGTTTCGTGGTTGGGGGCTAGACTTCATTGGCCAAATTCATCCTCCATCATCAAAGGGTCATCATTTCAACTTGGTGGACTGAGGTGGTTCCTTTGAAGAATATGAGAAATAAGAAGGTAATTGAGTATATGAGTGAACATATCATACATAGATTTGGCATCCCTCAAATATTAACTATAGATCAAGGGACATCTCATTTGTGTCAAAGGAGGTAAAGGATTTTGACGAATTGTATAAGATCAAGTTGCTAAATTCATCTACATACTATGTTCAAGCTAATGGCTAGGCTGAGTCTAGTAATAAGACTTTAATCAAGCTCATCAAAAAGAAGGTTGAGGATAACCCAAGGAGGTGGCATGAGGTTTTGTCTGGAGCTCTATGGGCACATCTCAAATCTAGGTATGTTGCTACAAAGATTACTCCATTTTGAGTTGGTGTATGGGCAAGAAGTTGTGTTACCTGTCGAAGTAAATTTAGATGGATATAGGCTTGCTAAACAAAATGTTTTATCCGCTGTTATGTATCATGGTTGGATGATGGATAATGTCGATGAGGTGACCGATAAAAGATTAAAGGCTCTCAAGGAGATGGAGAGAGAAAAAGCTCGAGTTGCCAAAGCATATAACAAGAAAGTCAAAAGGAAGTCATTCTGTCGATGTTTCTTACCGGCAGATATTTGGTTCTTGGGGAACCCTACTTGATGCGAAGAACAATCATAGTCAAGACACAAGATTTATACTGGTTTGCCCCCCGGGAAAGCGAGTAAAAGCCTTACGTCCAGTTGCTACTCTTGTATTCTTGTATTCAGCGAGATTGAGATTACAATGTAGCTATACCAATGAAAGAGTCGATAGATACATCAGGGGGTATTGCTAACTATTTATATTTGGGATAAACTTGCCCTACAAGCTAAGGAGTCGTGCTCTGGTCGGAGTCTTGGCGTAATCTAGAGATATCCTCCCTTGAATAGGGTAGTCATAGACCTTTGGGTCTTCTCTGATCCGGAGTTGGTAGTCGGCATATACGGAAGTCAGGATACACGGGGGTATGGCATCGGCATTATCCCCCAATCTTGTCTGCCAACGCAACTTAGCATCCTGTGGGTAGTCGGGATTGCCTTAGTCAAGTGGTTTGTACTTCAGGTGGCGCAAACACCTCGGGTAACAAACTGTGACTTAGGGCCCAATCTATGCCAAGCGTAAAAGATGCACTGTTGGGAGATAAGTTTGTTTAGAGTGCCATCCCTGGGTTGCTTTTGTCTTGTCAACCCCGTTTCACACGCAAGCCAAGGGGGCACACAGTCGTCTGTCAGTCTAAGCGCTGCGTCGGCTCATTTCCCCATGGTGGAGATTTAATTATGTTTTAATTGGGATGGGGGTTGAGATTCCTAGGTACATGGCTTGGTCCTATTTAATCAGACCCACATGTGTTGAGCTCTGCAACCTCCATTCCGCAATCTTCTCAACAAGATGAGGAGACCGCCGGCCGCAAGCGTCCCTGCAAGATGCCACTTGTTGCTTAGCAACTCGCCCGGCCAAGCATCACACTGTCGACCCAAGCGCCTGCATCCACGTCTCCGTCCCCGACGTCCTCTGAAGGCCCAGTGTCAGTGGCACCATTGCTGTGAGGCCCGCCGTCGATGCCTCTAGCCCTAGCGCTCCTAGACGGGGAGGCTAGGGTCGACGAAGATGCCCCGCTAAGGGCCCCGGCCTTGCTCTCGGTCAAGCTGGAGCCATCACCACCGGGGGAGGTGAACGAGCTCTCCAATGAGGATGAGCCGGGGGACCCGACCCTGTCGGTGGTCATCGCTCCCGCTGCCCCAGTCATCTCCGCCGCCCCTGCCACTCCTGTCGCCTCCGTGCCCTCGACATCCCTGGCCCCTCCGCTCCCTGCGCCACCGGCTCACTGGACACGAGTCACGATGAGGAAATCGCGAGAAGCTCTACGTCGAGCTGAATGGCGAGGCCCTCAGGATCCCAGGGGATGGAGGCCTGGTGATCCTCAACGAGGAGAACAAGAAAGAGGGGGAGGACGATGCCACGAGCAATGGGTCATCGACGGGAAGCGAGGCTGCCCCATCTCGTCACTGAGCCCTTAAGGAGCTTGGTGACGATCGGAGGTGGTGCCCGCCCTGACCGTCTTAGATTAGCGTTCTAGCTTCATCCATTTGTAAATCCATCTTTAATGAATTATCAATGGAATGACTAGTTTTTAATACGCATGTGTATATATTTTTTGTTCTTTATCCGCATCCTTCAAATTGCTTCATGTTTGAGTAGACCAGAGCAAGCTGCAGCATACTTAGCATGTAGATGCAATCCAAAGCCGGGATTCTTCTACACTCGTGCCTTCTATGGGGAGTTCGTTCAAACCCCAAGTTACAGCCGAGGGCGAGCCCCGAGCTATAGTCAGGTCAGGTCCTCACTCGTGGCTCAAGTAAAGAAAATATCTTAGTCGTACTTTACCCAAAGGGCACAAAATCGCCTTTTTTATTGTTGGAATAAATGGGATTTTATTCCTTACGGGTAACTGCAGGCACGATAGTCTAGGCGTGCATTATGGCTGCCGAGCGTTTTTTTGGGGATCGTGCGCACTAGGCAGCCATTTAACCCCTCGCCCCTCTTTGCTGGCAACCACTGCGCCTATTCTCTCGCTTAGCATTTCCAAATCCGCCTTTTGCCCTTTCACAACCTCTCTTGCTCCCGTCTTGCCTCTGCTGCCATGGCTTCAAGCTTCCAGCACCCTAGATCTCTGGATGCCACCAGCCGTGACGGCGCCAATGCGGCGGAGCCTTGAATCCTGGTCCGGCCGAAGACTGAGGAGCCCGAAGAGCTGGCAGAGCCAACGGAGCCGTTGGTCATCGTTCAACTAAACGAGTACTGGGTTACTTCGCTGACATGAGAGGGGAACATGGAGACGCTGAGGGAATGCGGGCTTCTTCTAGATAGATTGGTCTATGAATGGATCGCCAACCAAGGTGAGGACCACCCAACCCCGGATACACACCAGATTACTGCTTTCGTTGCCCATTGTGAGTGCGGCTTTGGGGTGTACCCGTCGAAGTTCTTGGAGCGAGTCATAGGAACTACAGGATTGAGATTGCATCTTCGGGCTTAGCGTCTTTGCTTTGTTCTATGAGTCGTCGCTTGGCATCGAGCCTTATCTAGATCTATGGCACTACTTTTACTCGGGAATGTATCATTCCAATAAGCTGTTCATTGGGTCGGTTGGTTTCTCCCTTAGAAAGGCTGGAGAGTACATTGTTTTCCCTATTAAGTCCTCCTGGAAGGGCTATGTGGAAAAACGGTTTTACATCAATCTTCGTGAGAAGAATGTGTCATGGGCAACTATACTATGCCCGTTGTTAGTGACGTGTGGTATTCGATCCCCACTGTCACCGCTAGGATGAGGGGCCACATTGAACGTGTT